CTCCTCCCTCCCTCCTCTCTCTCTGACAGCCCGTCAGTTTCTCATGCAGCTCGCTAAACAGAGGGCGGGGCATCAGGTGATCATGCAGAGCTGAGTGTCTTGGTCAGACTCAGCAGCTGATCTGATCTCTCTCTCTCGTGTCCGGTTATACTTCACTCGCGTTTATGTCCATATCGATCAGATCCAGCTCTCCTGATCGTTCTTTATAGAGAGCACCGATCAAACTATTAAGAGTGAATATCGGACGATAATGACCGGCGGCCAATCGATCGGAGCATCCCTAATTATTAGCGGCTAACGGAAAACCCTGGTGTGTGTGTACGGAGTTCTGGAGTGCCAGCTGTTCTCTGGACAACAAATAATAACAATGGTTTCAAAGGAAAGTAAATACATGGAGGATGATGTTTCAGGATGGACAGGCAGATGTGTTTACTGGACTCTGTGTTCTTGTGTTCAGATAAGCAGCTGGTCCAATACACATCATGCCCCCTACTGGCCTTCCTGGACGGCTGCCTCCCTCATGCAGAGCAGGACGGCAGCAGCAGCAGCAGCTCCTCCTTTAACAGCTCTCAGCTCTCCTCCAGCCCCCCCAGCTGGTTGTGGGGTGGAGCCCCCCCTTAGAGCTGCTGGACTCCAGTGTGGAGTCCAAGCCAACGGCCCGCAGCTCCCTGATCCGTCTGGAGCCTCTGACGGAGGCGGAGGCCAGCGCCGAGACACTCTTCTACCTGTGTGAGCTGAGTCCTGCTGCAGCGGAGGGGGAGGCTCTGCAGGACAGAGTGTGAGCAGGCTCCACACCCTTAGTGGCCCCACTTCCACCTGGGGGCCACCGTGACAAGCAGCAGTTTGTACCCTGTGCACATTTCTACATTTTGCATTGAAGATAACATTTGAGTTACAGAAGTAGGCCACATTGCCATCAAAAGTTATAATTATAGTTTACCAAATCTTTTAATCACCCAAAGCATGATGGGAAGTGTAGTTCCAAAACACAAAACATTCTAATCTAAGTAAAATTAGTACAGCTGACCTTATTCTCTATTTAGTTTTTTTTTGTTACCGTGCATTACGAACAACACATTTTACAAACAACACAGACTTACTTAATAAAAATACTGCAGTGAACTCTAAAACCACAAGAATAAATAAATATGAATGAACAAGGGCTGCTTCTTATAGCATCAGTGTAATATTGCTGCAACTTGTTCATCGGTGAAATACATTATTATTACTATGAACACTACTTATTATTACCAGTGTTTTCTTCAACGCAATGCTCTGAAAAGTGTGGCCTCCTGTGGGAACAGGGACACCGCAGCCAGTATCTTTAGCGCATCCTGGTCAGCGAAGAAGCTGGACCTTGTTTTGTACTCTGAAATATATTTATTCACATGTGTTTTTTATCTTTTGCTCCGTTCTGTCCAAAAATATTCAGATAGTGTCGTGCTCAAGCTGCGGGACCGAAGCAACATTTCGCCAAGAACTGGAGACTAAACAGTTAATGGAAATAAAGACCTGAACATATAACCAGTTAATGCCGTCCAACAAAGACACGGCTATATCAAATTAATTTTTTGTGTAGTAAGTTCATCTGTTATCTCAGTTTGACGACCACCTCTCCCGGTTGTCAAAATAAGGAAGCGGCCTTTATTAAACCATGAAAACATTTATTTTAAAGTAAGAAATTCCTAAATATCCTACGAGCTCCCTGTTCCTTAGTTGAGGTGAGAAAAACAGAGTGGGGGGCTGATCTCAGAGCTGTAAATAGTGTCCCTCAGTACGCTCATGTAGTGGTTTCCTCTGCTGTTCACTGATAGAAGTGTCCCTTCTTATCTAGCCATACTTCACATGGCAGAGACTGTTTATAGTTCACTGCATGGCCATGTCTCTGAGACCCGCCAGCTGTCTCATTGTTGTGGTTACAATAAAGCAAATACTACAATGTACATGTGTCCCTGCTTCTATTATTCTATAACCATGTGCAGACTTATTGTGTGATTTGCCAGCTATTTGCTCCACCTGCGAACATAAAGTGTTGTGACGCTCAAAAGAAAAAACTACTTTAGAAATGTCATTTCACATTTCCGATGATTGATCATACCGGCAGCCTTTCTTATTGGTCTCCTTAACAGTAAGGTGCAAACACACACACATCTTCTCCAGCCTGGATATTGCTGGATTCACATAGAGGGAAACAGCTGCTACTTCTGCATACCTTCATTCATGTAAGAATGTTCAACTCTTCACAGATTTGTATGCTTCTATTCCTACCTCCTAATATTAATTCACAGGACACAATGAAGATAGAACTGCTGAAGAAATCCCTAGCTGAGACTCCGCTTCTGTCAGTGGTAAGGGTAGTTGGACTTTATTTTCTTTCTGTTATGCAGGTCTTTTTAGAAATAAAACACACTGCTTTTACTCAGTTTTATTAAACTGCATACAATATACTTTTACATGTCAAGAGAAAAATTATATTAGGATAAAAGCACAGGTGAGACAATCATACAAATGTACACACAATGTGCCTGCTAGGTACATGAGAAACTACATGCTAATGCTAACACTACCAAATAACTTAGAGAAGTTTTCAAACAACCATTTTCCATTTAAAGTCAAAATGTAACACGAAGCAGGAATGCCTTTGTTGTGATTGTGCAAGCACACAACATGGTGATTAGCTACAGTGATCCACAGCTGGAGTTCTGCTCATACACACCACCATCTAACTTGGTCTACATGTAGTGGCATTCCCATTAGTAATACTGCAGTCAGAGTTCACTGTTACACACAGACAGCTACTGTTAATGTCACATCAGCTTTAAAGGAAACGCATGCCGCTCTGAAAACTATTTACAATGGCAACAGCATGGGGAGCCCCCCCAGCTGCACTGATGCATGCTGGACTTCCTACTGAACTAACACTGAAGCAGGGCATGGTGGGGGTTTCGGGGGGGGGGGGCAGTGCAGTGGCTGCTTCAGTCAAAGTCTCTGTTGACCAGGACCAGAGGAGCCACCAGCGTCCACACATAGAGGGCGATGCAGATCCAGCTGGAGGAGATCTTCACCCACACTGAGGGCCACTTGCTGGTCATGGCCTCGTAGTTAGAGTCAGGACTGCAGAGAGAACACATCACATGACTCACTTAAAGAGCATAACTCGATACAACAAGATTAAACCTCAGTGACGCAGAAATGTGAAACACATGAGGGCAACTCGCTAATATAAACATGACTTCACCCATGATAACTGCAAACATGTTTATTTGGAACACAGGTGTCAAACTCAAATCAAATATTTGCTTGGATATTATTTAAGTTATTACTAAAACCTATTATTTTATATATAGCAGTCTTAAAGTTACAACCGGCCCTTTGAAAGCAACTAAAATGCTAATGTGGCCCGCGATTAAAATAAGTTTGAAAGCCCTGATCTAACAGACTGAAGGTAGCATGAGCAGTCAGTGAGCGGACACCTACCTGTACCAGTTGGTGAGTGTCATCATGATGTAGAGGGAGGCCAGGAACAGCATGAAGTGGAAGAAGGAGTAGGAGTACGTGACTCCATCCTTCTCGTTGTCCACAGCCCGGTTCACTCCCCCCTCCTCAAAGCTGTCAGCCTGCGGCCCGTCCTCGATCAGGGCCGACTCATCACTGGTGAGGGTCAGCTTGTTCACCTGGGCGTTGGACGAGTTACGGATACTGAGGGACAGACAGCTGTTAGCTGGACAGACAGGTTCACTAATGTGGGACTTTATGAAAGATCTCTAAAAGGATCTCCTCACCTGGAGTACAGGACACACATGAGGAAAAGGATCAATCCCACAATCCCCTGGGCATCCCACCACTGCACCACATGGTCCTGCCCCGCGGGGCTGGTGCTGTTCAGTCCGATGATGCCCAGAAGGCTCGGGTTACACTTCCTATCTGTGAGCAACAAAATATTTTCACTACACCCACACACACACCCAACCCACAACCCACCCCACACCACACACACACACACACACACACACACACACACACACCCACACACACACACACACACACACACACACACACACACACACACACACACACACACACACACACACACACACACACACCACACACACACACACACACACACACACACACACACACACACACACCACACACACACACACACACAACAACACACACACACACACACACACACACACACACCCACACACACACACACCTACCAGGCTCGTTAGTCATGGCGGACCAGGTGAGGTACATGGTGTAGAGGGTCACCAGGGAGGACTGCAGCAGGCCGGACCGGGGCTGGGACTCCTGCAGCAGAGAGCAGGCTTCACCAACACCACCCACACACTCACTCAATAGAAGTGCCTATGTCGCCAGAGAGCCTCCTCCCAGCGCTGCATCATTATTTGTATTGTCTCTATGACAATGATATCTTGATAATGTTTCACCACCGATGTACAGACCTGTTTCGTCCCTACTTTAAATTAAGATGGAATAGCTTTTCATCAATACAAGCAACCAGGAGATGCTTGCTCTCAAATTGTGTATGATTGTGCTTCAGTGCCGGAGAGCAAGAAGGACAAATCTGTATGGAGAGAAAAGTCACACACTCACTGGCAGCAACAGCGTCCGGAGGATCCAGTCAAATAAAATGGCTTTCGCGCTTAGTTAGGATAGTTTCTGTGTGAAAGCTGCTTCTCCTCCCAACTCTAACGTGATGTCTTTTGTATTACGTGTGTACTGAGTGGACAGACAATACAGAAAGAAAAACACTGCATGCGATCTCTCACACTGTGCTCAGTTATATAGAACCCTTTTTTTGATCATCAGATGGGTAATGAAAACAGAATTTTGAAGAAACAGAATACGGAACCACAGCATCAGATCTTACCTCAATAAAAAGTTTAAAGGTTTATAGGAAGTCAATAATCTTTTTAATTAAACATGGCGTGGGAAGTGCATGAGCAAGAGGTCACCTGGATGTGCGGCAGGATGGAGAGCACGGAGGAGCCCAGGCACAGCAGCATGTTGATGCTGATGAACACTTTGTTCTCCGTGCAGCCGTTAGAATGGGTGTAGTAGACGTAGAACAGGACCACAGACACCAGAGACATCACGTAGTTTAGAGTGGTGACCGAGAGCAGAGCTGTGGACACAATACAACTGCATTACACACGTCAATACACATGAATGACGGCAGTAAAGGGTTTCCATTTGAACATGTAGGTGCAGTTTATCACAGCGGGGTTATCCATGTGTAATAACAGTCACCATACCTGCATACCAGCAGCGAGAGTTGCCCTCCTCCATTTTCTCCACCCAGGACTCGTTCCAGGAGTGGGCAAAGTCAATGAGTAACACCAGCTGGATCAGGATGAAGCAGAAGGCTCCGGCCATGCCGACGTAGAACCACACTGAGGAGAACGGAGCGAGAAGACGTCACTACATCGTCACACAGAGGTCATGTACACCGTACCCTTACACTGCATGAAGACACCACCCTCCCCATACCTGCTCTGAGGCCAGCAGGCGCCGGGACACTAACAAGAAAAGGACTACAGGACTGAGCAATCTTCATAAACACTGTCAACAGATACTCTCACCAAATTCAAGGCTCTTTTTTCAAGACATTTTGAGATGTGTGGTGTTACAATATGTTTATACTGTGCACACACTTGCATGCTTTGTTGCATTTCTTTCAAGGGGAAAGGACATGTAAGAGAACTGTTACCCGTAGTGAAGGGGCCTTCTGAGATGAAGAATGATCCAATGGTGATGGCAGCTGCTGCAGCAAACTTAAAGAACCAGAACCTGCAACAACAGGTCTGAGATCAGTACTGCGGAATCATCACCACAACATTCATCAGGTGACTCTGTATACATAATGATGGATGGATCGGGGCTCACCCGTTGTGCAGTGCGGCTCGGGGGTCCTGACTGCTCCTGACTTTGACCATGAGCAGGGAGAAGAGCAGGAAGAACATGGCCATGCCGAAGCAGACGCGGTACACAGCCTTATAGCCAACCAGCACATCACAGTTCACATGCCCCTCCACACCAGGGATGGAGGAGCCCATCCCCCCTTCACAGAAACCTGGAATCTGCAGCAGCACACAGCAGGGTTAGCCTTCATGACCAGTTACACAAACCCCCCCTGGAATACTAAGAGAAAGTGATCACAGATTAACTCATGGGAAGATGTTGTGAGGAAACACAGAGTCCTTCATATGTCCTGCACTGTAATCACAAGCTCTCTCCTGTACCTTCTTCAGCTGGCCCTCCATGCCGGGCATCAGCATGATGCAGGCCACAGCTACACCCAGCAGCAGGAAGAAGGCGTAGATCAGGCGGGTCACTGTGGAGTTGTTCCCACTGGGACAACAGCGACTCAGCAAGCAGGGGGCACTGCCACACAGGCAGGGGACCTACACACACACACACACACACACACACACACACACACACACACGTCATTACTCTCATAGCCAGGCAGATAGACAAGTGTGTGTGTGTGTGTGTGTGTGTGTGTGTGTGTGTGTGTGTGTGTGTGTGTGTGTGTGTGTGTGTTGGTGTGTGTTTCGCAATAAGTGACACCGACCTGTTTACACAGTGTCCTGATTTCAACGTTACACAAGCTGCTCTGGTGACGTAATCCGTGTGTTTGTTTTCATGATATGCATGCCAGATAAAAAATATATGTGTGTGTGTGTGTGTGTGATTTAACGCAGACGTTACGTAAGAGCTGTTTTCCAAACAAAGGCAGGCCCATACAGACAACACACACACACACACACACACACACACGCACACACAATACACAGAGTCCGTCAGCAGTACACGGACAGGCTGGGCCTTTGTTATTGCGCAGTCATGACACCATCAGCAGCCAGACACAGAACCACCACCACCCTCCCCTCTCACCCAGCTCGCCATGGAGCACAGTCCCAGCACGGCTCCCATGATGCCCGCGGTGTGTTCTGCTGTGAGATGGTGCTGCGGGTCTCTCAGAGGTGGATGATGCTTATGCGTCTGCGTCTGCGTCTCCGTCTCCGTCTCCTGCTTCTGCTTCTTCTTCTTCTGTCTCTCTGTGTAATATGCACAGCAGCGCTCTGCTGCCCCCCCCAGGCCGCTCCCACAGGCTGTTCACTGGGTTTTTTTGGGGTCCTTCTTCTACTATATATATAGATATATGACAGACTTCCACAGAAGCAGCTTTTTCATACTTATTAGACATTAGTTATTTACCCTAGTCTTTAGTTTGTTAGTGCACGTGAGAGTCACGGACATGAATTCATGGATCAAGGCAGACTGGTTTACAGACTCTACTGTTTTGCGAATCCGGTGCTTAAACAAATAGCTCTACAACCCTGGCCGAAATGTCCCTAAAATGAAGTCTGAAGCCTCATCTCAATACCCCTCCTTTCCCTCACTCGCTTGCCTTCCTTGCGTCTTAGCTCCGCGAGAGACACACGAGAGAGGCTTCTCCATTCTTAAATTTCCCCTCCTCGACTCCCCTCCTCGAGACTTAGGGCCCTTCTCACTTCTCTTATTTTTTATTTCCTCGCTCCTCGGTCTCACCAGAAGTTGATTTGTCTGCGCCATCTTGAGTAGCGTCCCAATGGCCTTATTTTTGCCGGAGGACCGAGGAGCGATAATGGAGGAGCTATAACCGAGGAACCACCAGACCATCCTTCGATGAAATCCTCTGACACTCGCCCCGCCCCCTTACTCTGTATCGCTCACTGATTGGACGATGCAGCGCATGCACTGATCTGATGCTTCTTGACATGAGAGCAGTTTCCCAGCGGAGTGAAGAAAACACATGAACCTCACGGGAGTCACTCCTCAGTTTATACCGTGTTTTGTTTCAATTCATGTTTCATTTAGTTACAAATATGTGATATATCTGAACAACAAAGTGGTCAAAAATCATTTTATTCATTTATTGGAAACATTTTCATGATCGCTTTTTTGGTTTTACATTTTCATTTATTGTCATTTCCATTCAGTCAGTCATTAAGTGCTATTAAAATGTTAATGTGCTACATATCCACACAAACAAACAAAGTGTGCAATCCAATGAATGTTAATCTAACTGGGTTTTGATAGATACCATATCTCTTTTTCTTCTCTCAATTATTTTATTTCTATTGTGCACTCTAATCAATATTAATCAAACTAATGTTCGTTTATACATTTTAAGAATGGTGTTTATCTTTTTTGAGAATGAGTTCTTATTTTATTTTATTTATTTGGGTCTACAACAGATGATACAAATGTTTGTGTCAGTAAATGTGTACTAACAGAGGCGGGGGTGTGTGTGGAAATAACGGGGACAGAGCTGCTGTCAGACGATCAGCTGTGCAGCTTCAAGTGACGCTCCGGAGGAAAGGACGTCCCATTGCTCTTAAAACTCATTCCCTGCTTCTCGTGGTTTCCTTGCGTCCCTCCATGCTTCCCTTGTGGGAGGGACTAAACGCAAGGAAACGACGCAAGTTAGGGAAGCAAGGAATCCATTTAACCGAAGTGAGAAGGACCCAAAGAAACGCCCATTCATTCATTCATTCATTCTGACTAGGCTTGTTTGAGACGCGTTGCGGCTCGCCTCGAAAGTAGACGAGAGTAGCCGATCGCAGTCGGGGGAGGTCTCAAAAAGCTCGCCTGAAGTCGGACAGCTACGAGTCGGCTTCTTCTTCTTCATCTTCTTCTTCGCCTTCTTCTTCTTCTTCTTCTCTCGGTTATTTGGCGGATTGCAAACAACTTTAAGGTGCATACCGCCACCTCCGGAGTCGGCTTGACTCGGTTTGCATTTATAAAGAATGCACACATGTGTTTAATCGTTAATGTCAGATATGTACTAAGTAAATAGCCTACATTAGTTCCTGCTCAAGATTAGATTCAACTTTATTGTTATTGCACATATTACAGGTACTGAGACAACGAAATGCAGTTTAGCTTCTAACCAGGTGCAACAAGCAGTGAAGTGAAAAGTAATGTACACAATAGACAGAATAAAATATAGAATGAATTGAATGATGAATAAACAGTGAGGGGTATGAATACACTAGATATACACAGCAGCCTGTGAGCAGTATGAACAGTGTGTATGAATATGCTAAGATATATGAAAACGGTAAGCAGTGCAAGTATAGTATAAAATATATTAATTTCATGATGATAAACATTGTGGAACAATGATGAAAAATGTGAATGGAAGTGGCGACGTAAAACTGACACAAAACAACAACAAACTTTTGCCGAGCCAATTGGAGAGTTTCATCACCAGCACGTGGTAAAAACCACCAATGAGCGCTCAGCTCGAGATACCAGCGAGTCGTTTCCCATCAAGCATTTCGCTTCCGCAGCCCGTGGAGAGGAACTGCGCCGCCTCGCCGCGCCTCGCTCTCAAGGCTGCGGGCGTCTTTGTCCCGCGAGATTTCAACGTGTCATGTAGGCGAGCCTCCAGAGCAAGTCGGACAAAATGACTAACCATCATGCAACGCACTAGCAAGACTTTGATCGCAACTGCGCAGGTCTGCGCAGGTCTCGCTTGTCTCAAACAAGCCTACTGACTTTATGAAGAAGATCGCAGGAAATGACGACAGAACAGCTAAAAAAGACATCTCACACCGTGCAAGATTTAGGTTATTTTGGGGAGGTGGAGATAAATCATATTGTTTGGTGGATGCAGTTTGAACCAGAGTAGCAGAATGGAGGTCGGATCGTCACCAAAATAAATAAATAAGTGGTCCGAAAAAGGTTCATGACAAAAAAAATACACATAGCCTTCCTCAGGCAGTGTGTTTGTACCGGGGACAGGAGACCCCCCCTTGATGAGAGACTGTAAGAAATGATCGGGGAATCCCTCCGGAGTGGAGTCATGACGACTGGATCTGAATTATGTGTTTGTATTTGGTGGTTTGTGTTCCAGCTGTCGATCAGCTGTGCCTAGCATCTCCACTGCAGCCTGTGCATCTCAACCCCCCCCCCCCCCCGCCCCCCCCCCTCCCGGCAGCAACTCTATATCCACCAGTTAAAGGAAATACATACAACTAATGTGTTGCGTTAGGCTTAGTTTCCATACCTCCTGTGTTTTACGAGCGACTTATCAAGTCTTGGCAAACGGCATAAAACACGATTAAACGTGATAGTATATAAAACCATGCTCGTACAACCTATAGAAATGCAAAACGGCGTCAGTTTAGACGTAATTCTGTCCTCCTGCTTACCGCATCATTTATGAGAAAACATTTCATAACATTAACACAACATATTCGAGGTGGTTTTAAATAACATATCCGTATTTATTTATTTCTCCAAGTTATGTTTTTGTGTGCACTGAGGAGTCTCAAACAGGCGTTTGTTTAATCATTTTAAGATTGGCTTTAATCAATGTTTGAAAATGAATTCTTCATAAATGAGAGGTAACGTTTTATTTATGGTATTATTTTTGACATATTTCTCTCCATTCTTCCTTCTGCCAACGGTGTCGAAGTTTCTCGTCTCTCCCGTTGTTGTGCTTAGTGCGTACGCATGGGTTAGAGTTTGCGTGGAGGACCACACATTTTCCCGTCAAGTTAGTATTTTATAAATCGCAAACATTGCGTAGAAACTGGCGTACGCCATTTTTTGAGCGTATATCCCTTTATAAATCAGGCCCCAGATGCTTCTTGACTTGAGAGCAGTTTCCCAGCGGAGTGAAGAAAACACATGAACCTCACGGGAGTCACTCCTCAGTTTATACCGTGTTTTGTTTCAATTCATGTTTCATTTAGTTACAAATATGTGATATATCTGAACAACAAAGTGGTCAAAAATCATTTAATTCATTTTTTGGAAACATTTTCATGATCCCTTTTTTCGTTTTACATTTTCATTTATTGTCATTTCCATTCAGTCAGTCATTAAGTGCTATTAAAATGTTAATGTGCTACATATCCACACAAACACACAAAGTGTGCAATCCAATGAATGTTAATCTAACTGGGTTTTGATAGATAACATATCTCTTTTTCTTCTCTCAATTATTTTATTTCTATTGTGCACTCTAATCAATATTAATCAAACTATTGTTCGTTTATACATTTTAAGAATGGTGTTTATCTTTTTTGAGAATTAGTTCTTATTTGATTTTATGTATTTGGGTCTACAACAGATGATACAAATGTTTGTGTCAGTAAATGTGTACTAACAGAGGCGGGGTGTGTGTGGAAATAACGGGGACAGAGCTGCTGTCAGCAGTGGCGGCGCCAGAGATTTTCTTTAGGGGGTGCTGTGGGGTAGCTTGACGTTTCATAGAGGGTGCTCAAACATTAAGGGTTTCCCATTAATGCACCACCGCTACAGTTGCATTTTCTACTGCAACACTCCCCACACACACACACACACACACACACACACACACACACACACACACACACACACACACACACACACACACACACACACACACACACACACACACACACACACACACACAGTGCACCCGCGACTGTAACAATGAAGGCTCGATAATCAGCTCACGGCATATAGGTGTAAGCAGGGGTAAAGTGCTATTTTTACAAGTGGGGAGTGGACCTCACGTACTCTAGGAGGGTCCTCACCTCCTCTCGTGGGGCATGTTTCCCCGGGAAGATTTTTTTTAAATATTGAAGTTAAAAGCATCAATCTGGTGCACTTTGAGAGCAACATTAAGAGATCTATGGATACATCTCTCATCACCCATATGAAACAGAACTGTAAACAGATTTTCTATTTCTTCATAGACATTTTACAAATCACTCCCCTTTTAAAACAAACCGTTTGAGACCCACTGAGATAACTAGACTAAAGTTAACTATCTAAACACTGAGAGTCCTTTACTTCACCTGAGCTGAGGTTACCTGAGACTCTCCGTCTGACAGGAGAGAGAACTTCTCCCTCCACCTTGTTGTTGAAAAAGCTCCTTATACCCGTTAGCTTGGCTAGCTAGCACCAGATGCTAACCACAACGATCTCCAGTAGATACCCACCGGTGCGCGAGCTTCTCTCTCTCGCTCGCGCACACACACGAAATGGCTCGTGCCACACACACACAGAGCAGAGCTTGAATGAAACACAGAGACCCAAAAGTAAGCTACTTGTACTCACGAGGCCTATTATGTGCAGAATCCCTCTCGCTTTCAGGTGGTTTTGATTGAGTGTCCACACGTGGACGTTTAAGGACTAAAAAACGATACATTTTTTCACTTTGCTGTTAGAAAATAATGTGGCGCTCTAGCTAACAGGAAGTCACTCAAGTGTCACAAAGTAATTTAGCCTATGGGTAGGTCAAAAATCGAATGGGTGCTGGCCATTGGCCTAATCATATCACCTGTGTTGGCTTTATGTTTTTGGTCAAACATTTGTTTGTTTCACATGCATTGATGTAATCAATAATTTTTCTAATTTAATAAAAATAATAATAATAATAATTTTCGAAAAAAAACACA